CGCGGGCGCCGCGCGACTCCACCCGTGGTGGGGCGGGGGCGGCCGGCCGGCGGGGCCCCTCGCGGGTGGCCTGTCCAGCTCGCCCTCGGAGATCTTGCAGGAGCTGGGGAAGGGGAACACGCAGCCGCAGCCCGGGGCGTCGCCTCCTGCAGCCCCGCCGGCGCCCGGTCCCAAGGACAGTCCCGGGGAGACAGACGCGTTCGCCAACAGCGAGGGCAAAGAGCTGGTGGCCGCAGGCGAAAAGTGAGTGTCCGGCGAGGCCGGGGAGGCCCGGATCCACTCAGGGCCGGGGCCCGGGGAGGTTGGCGGGTGGGGGGGGAGGACGGGATGGGAGCCCAGGTTCGCGGAAGAGAAAGAAAGCCATGCCAGGCGGCCTGCATCGTCTGCGCCACGTGATTAGGCCCCGCCCGCCCGCCCGCCCGCGCCCCTCCGCCGGGCTCCCACCTCCCCCCCCACCCCTCCGGCACGGGACCCCCTCCGGGGACTCGGATGCCTGATACCCGCTCCCTGCCCGACCCGGGAGGCCCCGGCAACGCCCGCGCCGCGTGCTTGGCGCACCGGCCCGCAGCTGCCGCGCCCGGCCCTTGGTGTGCGATGACACACGCACACGCACATCTTCTGCCGGTGACATTTAGGACTCGGGCGTTCTGCAGAGCTCGTACCCTCCCGGGCCCAAGTTTCAGCTCTGCCTGCCTCCCCTCGTCCCTGCCATTATCCCCCTGGACGCCAGATGTGGCACAGGGTGATTAATACTTGTAAGGTGTCGAGAGCCATCTGGGGCACCGGAAATAATGTTTCAGAAATGAGATTAGCAGGAACAGGGTCATGTGGCCTAGAAGATGAGGCACGCAGCACAGACCACCTGTTTGCATCGGGAGCAGCTTTGGCCTGCTTGGTGTCTTCCAATATAAAAAACAGCCCAAATTAAAATGTGACATTAAAACACTGAACAGTGAGAATCTTGAGTCAAGTAGGCCTTGTGACTTATTTATGATAGGATGTTGACTCATCCTATAGGTGTATAGCACAGTAATTTAGTCTCAGTACATAATTGGTCTTTCTGAAATGAGAAGTGGTCTTTGAATACTTTTGCCCTGTGTATGGGCAAACCTGTTTTCCCAATCTAGGTAAACATTTACTTGTCTGCTTTCTTTATATCCTACTGTTTTTATGACTTTATACTGACACAGTATGTCTTGTTTTTTGCCTTTTGTTCTATTTCCAGCCCTAGAGTACCTTAAATCAAACTGAAAGTATAATTACTGTTAAACTCAGACCTTCTTGATGTTTCCTGTAATTGAAGTTGTGACCTTCCTAAAACGTTCCTAATTACAGTTTTCCCGTACTGAAAAATATTAAGAAAAAAAAAAAAAAACACCTGATAATGGACATAATTTGTGGTATTCTGTAATAATGATTTTGTACCACAAAGTAGACTTATGACTATGGGCACTGTTATTAATGTTTAGAGGGTTCAAATCCATTCCATTGTTTTTAATTTTTAGCTAGACTTTCATTACATTTGCACCTCTCCCTAATATTTTAGTGACTAGAATGTGTATACTTAATTTCATCAGGGACTCACTTTAACATCATCTGCTTTACCAGGCATGTAATAAGAGTTTAAATAGGTGTGCCCAGAGTTCACAGAATTGCAAAGTGCACTTACTACCACTTAAAAGTTATCCTTAAAGGCTGCAGGATGGGAAGTGCTTTCTGTTAAAAATAAGAGTTTGGTTCTGTTTTTCTTTTCAGTGGCTCTAAGGCCCTTTTTTCTCTTACTGTCAGATAAGAGATTAAACTTTTGTGATTTACTTGTTTTCCAAAAGTTTCTGGTGTCTTTTTCTTCTTGATTTTTTTTTTTTTTTTGGTGGCACTGAGGTTTGAATTTGGGGTCTCATACTTGCTAGGCAGGCACTTTTACCAGTTGAGCCACTCCAGCAGCCCATCTGTTGTCTTTTTAATAAGAAGTCATCTCATAGCAATAACTTTGGAACATTATTTTGGCTAATGTCCCATCTTACTCCTCGTCCAAAACAAGAAAAGAAAAACAGTCTAGGGAGGGAATTCCTCAAAAAGGTTTTCACAAATGCCCTGGGAGTTTAAGTGCCAATAGGATAACCTTGTTTTCATTAGTTGGAATGAGAAGCTTATGGGTCGTGTGTGTACCAAAATTTGGATGATAGGTAGACAGGAGCAACTCTGATATTAGATCATCCTGAGAGCTTTCAATCAAGGATTTGTTACAAGAGTGAAGCCCAGCTGTCTTTGATTTACATATAACATGAAGTGAAAAAGAAAACATTTTAATTTGGTTGAAATTTCTCTTTCTTCAATGATCTGGTTCCCAAGCATTTTCCTCCTTTGACTCCTTCCATTTTTGTCTTCACATGAAACACGTTTCTTTTGTTCTGGGAGTTTGGCTTCCATTTGATCCTGTTACCCTTCCTAATGCTCAGCTTCCAAAGCATAGGTCATCTTCAGTCAGCAGTCCACCTGAAATGCCAGCACTCAATCGGGACTCTGACAGACTTTATAGAGCATTACAAAAAGGAATAGCCATGTGAAAACTAAATGAGTTACCATTTTGTAAAAGGCTTAGAATAATGGTTGGTATGTGTTAAAAGGTATATAACCGTTTGCTCACTAAATGAGAATAAAATTGCCTCATTTATTATAAAACCTGTCAAGAGCATTGGCTTTTGAATTTAATATGAGAATGTTTTATTTTTAGTTTATAGAAAACAGATCCTCTTGACAAATTGTACATCTGTCCTATATAAAACTATGATGTGATTTATACTATTTACCTTCTTACTTTGCTGGTAAATAAGGTCAGAGCAACTTTAATGCTTAACCACAGCAATTTCATTTGCTCCTGTGGTTGGGATATTTACTTTTCTTTCTTTAGTTCTGACTTTATATATATACACACACTTTTAAAAAATCTTACCTTAGGTTGTAGAAGGAGTTGGAATATAAGCATGTTACCCAATTATCTCTGTTTTCCAAAAAAGCAGTGGAACTCATCAAATCAGTATCATCTTAGCATGTCATTTCCTTCACATGCCTTCAGTCTGAAAATCATATACATCTAAAAATGACTACCATCTAAAGATCATATAAAATGTATAATATGACTAATATGTAAAAATCATGTAGAAATATATATAATATATGAATTGTATATAATTTTTGCTCTGATTTCCCTGTAGTAGTAACTTATTAATTTTGTTGCTACTACTTATTTTGTCATTTTAATAAAAGACCAAGTTTGCTTGGCTCTCTTCATTTTTTTAAAAGTTGTTCTACCTGCTTTCCCAGTTCTTTTTGGGTTTCCTCACTGCATCTTTCCCACCCATCTACCTTCTCGACAGCATATCTGTTCTTTTGGCTTTGACCCTCATTTGTGTGTAGGTAATACTTAAGCTCTTAATCCAAATTTTATTATGGATCCAATTTCATCATGATGACTTCAACAATCTGATGATTTCCCACATATCTGATGACTTCAAATTTAAAATCTGTACCTCTCTATCCATCTTTTTTACTAATTCAATCTATTTTTCATACTGTTAGATTAATTTTAGAGTTTTAATTTAAAATATCATGCCCGGCCAGGAATGGTGACACATGCTTATAATTCTGGCATTTGGGGCAGAAGGATCTGTGAGTTTGAGGTCAGCCTGGGCAACATAGCGAGTTCAAGAACAGATTGGAATGAATCTTATATCATAGTCACAAATTATTTTGGCATTTAAGAGTTTTGATTAACTTTCATGTTGATGCTTGCCTAATATGGACATTTTAATCTGATTTATATTTTCTCAAGCACTACATGCATAATTTCTGTAAAGCCCAGAAGTGCCTGTCCTATCTTAGTGAAGAATCCTAGGAAAGGGCCAGAGGGAGGGATGTGAAAGAACACCTTTTGTTTGGACATTTTGTTTTTTAGTTAGAAAAGAGGTGGACTGGGTCTGTGGCTCAAGTGGTGAGTGCCTGCCTAGCAAGCTTGGCCCCCAGTACTGCCAGAAAAGGAAAAGAGGTATATAACAGAGAGGGATTAGGCTGGAAAAATATCAGTATATACTCCTTACGGAATATGTAATTTATACAGGGGCAAATTAAGAATATTTATTCCCTTAAAATAGCAAGGAGATCATTTTTCCTCTTTGTTAGATTCACAGATGTTAAATCAAGTGATCCAAAAGAGGTGGGAAATAGGACCTCTTGTGTGACTGGTAGAAGTATAGGTTAGTTTAGCTATTTTGTAAGGCAGTTTGGTAATATCTGTTAAAAAACTGCATACCCATTATATAGAAATTGTATGTTTACATATCTGCATGAAGACATTTAAAATGCATATTTTTAATTATGCAAGTATAATTTAAAACATTTAAATATAAAAATATAAGCAAAAATGATTTCACCTAGCTAAAGACACTATGGTGTTATGTTTTGGTAATTCATGGTTCTTAATAAATGGGAAATGAAGGTAAAAAAAATTGTTACTTTGTGTACTGTGAGAATTGAATTTTAAAGTATAATTTTATAATACTTAGGCATTTCAGCAAACATTGCATAGGGTCAATAGAACAGTACTGATAAGAAGTTGAAATGGTATTTGGCAGATGTAGATAATACATTTTGGAACTGAAAGACAGACTGTCTTTTGAAGTGGATTTTAAATGCTTTTTTGATCCATTTGTATTGCATTTAAATTTCACTTCTAAAAATAAACATTTATAATACTCTTAAAGATCAAAAGTACATCCAATTTTCCTGTGGACTTCTTAATCATCCCATTTTTTATTTGTAGTTTTTTAATATTAAAATTTTTCTCTAGGTCATGGTCATCAATGAGTTTAAACCAGCAATTGGTAAACATGTACATGATCTGTAATCAACAAAAAAATGTATATTAATATTTAGATGAAGTTCATTGAAAGAACAAAAGTTAGATCCTGAAGTTTAGTCTCTGAGTTTTAGCTTCTTGTTTTCAGACTTTGTTGTATAGAGAAGTCTTTCTTCCTCAAAATCAGCTAACTCAGGAAGTGATTACCAGATAGAATTAACCTTTTATGACACAGTGATATATAGGCAAAAAAGGGAAGAGGACCCTGTTTTAGTCTGAAAAAAAGGTAAATATCACCTTGAAGAGAAATTTTCTGAAGCCACTGTAGGTTTCTTTGTGTTTTGATAGTTATTTGAAAGGTATCAGCAAAAGGCTATACTATATTCTT